TGTTGTCGTGGTTGTGGTGGTGGTTGTTGTGGTTGTTGTGGTGGTTGTGGTGTTTGTTGTGGTGGTCGTGGTTGTTGTGGTGGTGGTTGTTGTTGTGGTGGTTGTTGTGTTGGCTGTTGTGGTGGTTGTTGTGTTGGCTGTTGTGGTGGTTGTGGTGGTGGTGGTTGTGGTTGTGGTGGTGGTTGATGTGGTGGTGGTTGTTGTGTTGGTGGTGGTTGTAGTGGTGGTGGTGGTTGTGGTGGTGGTTGTTGTTTACCGAGGTAGAGCCTCGCTCTCTCTCTCGTAGGGATGTCAATTGAGTAGCAGCGAGCATGGAAGCGATGTCCAGGTTGGAACTTTACAGCGCGGGGCCTAGCCACCCGGGGCCTTGCCTCCTACCCTCGCCTGATTGCGTTTACTTCATTTCTCTCACTTAAGTTTAATTTGTCTTCACACGGCTCGCCACTTTGTCACTTTGTTTTACTTTTAAATATTCACGCAGTTTTTATTTCATTCTTTTTTACCAGGCCAAGCCCGCTTGAGCTGCTGTACCGCTTTTGTTTTTAGAAGCGACCTGTGGTTGTGGTGGTGGTAGTGGTTGTGGTGGTTGTTGTGGTGGTTGTGGTTGTTGTGGTTTTGGTGGTTTTCGTGGTGATGTGGTTGTTGTGGTGGTGGTTGTGGTGGTGGTGGTTGTTGTGGTGGTGGTTGTTGTGGTTGTTTTGCTGGTGGTTGTGGTGGTTGTTGTTGTGATGGTGGTTGTTGTGGTGGTTGTGGTGGTGGTTGTGGTGGTTGTTGTGGTTTTTATGGTTCTTGTGGTTTTGGTGGTTGTGGTGGTGGTTGTGGTGGTGGCTGCGGTGGTGATTGTTGTGGTGGCTGTGGTGGTTGTTGTGGTGGTTGTTGTGGTGGTGGTTGTTGTGATGGTTGTTGTGGTGGTGGTTGTGGTGGTGGTTGTTGTGGTGGTTGCTGTGGTGGTGGTGGTTGCTGTGGTGGTGGTTGTTGTGGTGGTGGTGGTTGTTGTGGTTTTCGTGGATGTTGTGGTTTTTGTGTGGGTGGTTGTTGTGGTGGTGGTTGTTGTGATGGTTGTGGTGGTGGTTGTGGTGGTTGTTGTGGTGGTTGTTGTGGTGGTTGTTGTGGTTGTGGTGGTGGTTGTGGTGGTTGCTGTGGTGGTGATTGTTGTGGTGGTGATTGTTGTGGTGGTGGTTGTTGTGGTGGTTGTGGTGGTTGTGGTTGTTGTGGTGGTTGTGGTGGTTGTTGTGGTGGTTGTTGTGGTGGTTGTTATTGTGGTGGTTGTTGTTGTGGTAGAGGTTGTGGTGGTGGCTGCGGTGGTGGTTGTTGTGGTGGTTGTTGGTGGTTGTTGGGGTGGTTGTTGTGGTGGTTGTTGTGGTGGTTGTTATTTTGGTGGTGGTTGTGGTAGTGGTTGTTGTGGTGCTGGTTGTTGTGGTGGTGGTTGTGGTGGTGGTTGTGGTGGTGGTGGTTGTTGTGGTTGTTGTGGTTGTTGTGGTGGTTGTTGTGGTGGTGGTTGTGGTGGTGGTTGTTGTGATGGTTGTCGTGGTTTTCGTGGTTGTGGTGGTGGCTGCGGTGGTGGTTGTTGTGGTGGTAGTGGTGGTGGTTGTGGTGGTTGTGGTGGTAGTGGTTGTTGTGGTTGTTGTGGTGGTTGTTGTGGTGGTGGTTGTGGTGGTTGTTGTGGTGGTCGTGGTTGTTGTGGTGGTGGTTGTTGTTGTGGTGGCTGTTGTGGTGGCTGTTGTGGTGGTTGTGGTGGTGGTTGTTGTGGTGGTGGTTGTGGTGGTGGTGGTTGTTGTTGTGGTGGTTGTTGTGGTGGTTGTGGTGGTGGTGGTTGTGGTTGTTGTGGTGGTGGTTGTTGTTTACCAAGGTAGAGCCTCGCTCTCTCTCTCTCGTAGGGATGTCAATTGAGTAGCAGCGAGCATGGAAGCGATGCCCAGGTTGGAACTTTACAGCGCGGGGCCTAGCCACGCGGGGCCTTGCCTCCTGCCCTCGCCTGATCGCATTTGCTTCAATTCTCTCGCTTAAGTTTAATTTGTCTTCACACGGCTCGCCACTTTGTCACTTTGTTTTACTTTTAAATATTCACGCAGTTTTTATTTCATTCTTTTTTACCAGGCCAAGCCCGCTTGAGCTGCTGTACCACTTTTGCTTTCAGCAGCGACCTGCCCACAACACAAGGTGAGGCTCGTCAACAGCGTGGTGGTGTTCACTCTAGACGCGTGGCGGTGTTCACTCTAGGCGTGTGGCGGTGTTCACTCTAGATGCGTGGTGGTGTTCACTCTAGATGTGTGGTGGTGTTCACTCTAGACGCGTGGCGGTGTTCACTCTAGACGCGTGGCGGTGTTCACTCTAGATGCGTGGTGGTGTTCACTCTAGATGTGTGGCGATGTTCACTCTAGACACGTGGCGGTGTTCACTCTAGATGCGTGGCGGTGTTCACTCTAGACGTGTGGTGGTGTTCACTCTAGACGCATGGCGGTGTTAACTCTGGACGCGTGGCGGTGTTCACGCTAGACGCTTAGTGGTGTTCACTCTAGAGGCGTGGTGGTGTTCACTCTAGACGCGTGGTGGTGTTCACTCTAGACGCGTGGCGGTGTTCACTCTAGACGCGTGGCGGTGTTCACTCTAGACGCGTGGCGGTGTTCACTCTAGAGGCGTGGTGGTGTTCACTCTAGACGCGTGGTGGTGTTCACTCTAGACGCATGGCGGTGTTCACTCTAGACGTGTGGCGGTGTTCACTCTAGACGCGTGGCGGTGTTCACTCTAGACGCGTGGCGGTGTTCACTCTAGACGCGTGGCGGTGTTCACTCTAGACGCGTGGCGGTGTTCACTCTAGACGCGTGGCGGTGTTTTTTCTCTGCATGTGGAGTGGGGACAACTGGGGAATCCGGAGGGAAATCCACGCGGCCACAGGGTGAGAGAGAGGGACACACAAACTCCAAATATACAGCAGGCGCCAGGGTCGGCATCGAACCCACGACTTCCTGTATTCCAGGAGAGGTAGTTAACATCTCACCACATGGAGAGAGAGACACGCAGCCTCGACGATGTTGATTGATCTTCAATTAATTACTTGGTGGAGTAAGGAAGCATTAATACTGAGCGGATGAAGGTGGCCAGGCATGCGTCTGGACACACCACCAACTAAATTTTGATTTAAAGCTTTCGTGACTGCATTAATTCATATTCTTAGCTCTTTCGGTAAAGTCACGTTGAAGGGAAACAATAAAATAATAAAATATATATATAAATTCTCACGACATTTCGACCATAACACAAACGGTCATCATCAGGTGTGAAAAACCCAACGGCAAGAAACATTTGAAAGAAGTGGCGGTTTGCATTTATTTTTAAACGGTGTTTGTATTTATTTATTGATAAAAAAGCGTTAGCGCCACAGACAGCAATTTGGCAGTTTGTTTAGAAGGATGAGTTCTTCATGGTTTGAGTGATACTCCGACTATACAATCCGCAAAGCTATCACTCAAACCATGAAGAAGGACCCTCTTGAGAAGCTTTTCAAAACCATCACTTTACCCTACATAGCGGGGATCACAAAAAAGATCTCCAAAATCTTGAATAAACACAAGATCCAGGTCCGTTTCAACACATTACATAAAATCCGTGATCTGGTTCCGTCTGTAAAAGATGTGAATCCGGACATACAGTACCCTGGTGTCTACAAACTAAGTTGCCTCTGTGGTAGTAGTTACATTGGAGAAACCAAACGCCATGTCTCAGACCGCATTCGTGAATACAAAGCAGACCTTAAACACGGTAGGACCAACACCTCGGCCGTGGCAGATCATTGTTATAATTTGGTAGGCTCACATGACATTGACTTCTCCAAGACAGGTTCTTTGTAAGCCATCTGGCTGCCATGAGAGATTAGTTTATGAGGCTATCCACATATACAAGCACAGAGACAATTTCAACTGAGAAGATGGATTCTGGCTTAGCAATTATTGGAAGGATTTGATAAACCATTTCAGGTCTTAATTGATTGTTCACGCTTACGGTGGCTTTCAGACAGCATACATTAATTTTTCGTCTCCCCCCTCTTTTCAGAACATAGGTAGACTTGTCCTTCTAAAGAAACTGCCAAATCGCTGCCCGTGTCGCTAACGTTTTTTAAATAAATAAATGCAAACCACCACTTCTTTCAAATGTTTCTTGCCGTTGGTTTTTCACACCTGATGATGACCGTTCGTGTTATGGTCGAAACGTCGTGAGAATTTTATTGTTTTATATATATTTTATTATCTTATTATTTCCCTTCAACGTGACTTTACCGAAAGAGCTAAGAATATACACCACCAACTGTTTACCATGCCAGTGTGTGACAGTGTCAAGTTTGTATTTGTAGTAAAGTCTATTAACTCTATTGAGCACGGAGGTTATATCAAAACAATAGTTTGTTTTCCTCTGGAACTCTTTGTAAGAATGGAGTCAGGAAGTTATCACAGCACACGTGCAACTGAAGTCAGAACTGTTCATCCCAGCATTCAAGGACATGTGCCGGGCTTCACACCTCTAAGTTGCGATTGAACATGAATTTATGCATTTCTGCATAACACAGATAGTATTATTTTCAACACCCTTTGCTATGTCAGCTTAATTTAGCTTTCATAAATATTCCTTTTGAAGCCAGAAAGCCGAAATTGTGTGCTCGGAGTTTTGGGTTAACATTCATTTTGAAGATACGAGGGCTTCCAGGCACGTTTATGACCATTTGCCCTCTCATTGTGTGCCATAACAGCCCGTGTGATGAATTTGAGACACTTTTTCACTATATCATGAATATAGAATAAGTATAGACATGTAAGTCATGTGGGACTGTATATAAGCATTCCTCTGCACATCAATACTGACGTGTAGATGGTATGGATATTATTTGTTTCTGTCTGCAGCTGTCGCTTCCTCTGCAGAATTTGTCTGATGGAGCAAAGGCACTCGGCGCAGCTCGGTGCAAAAGGGCAACAATGCGACCGGCTTGCAAACAACACGGATCGTACTAGAAATTTGACACGGCACCAGAGAACTCACACAGGAGAGAAACCCTTCAAGTGCAGTGTGTGTGGGAAGGCGTTTGCACATTCATCTCTTCTTGTAAGACACCAGAGAACTCACACGGGAGAGAAACCCTTCAAGTGCAGTGTGTGTGGGAAGGCATTTGCACTTTCATGTACTCTCGTAAAACACCAGAGAACACACTCGGAAGATAAACCCTTCAAGTGCAGTGTGTGTGGGAAGGCGTTTGCACATTCATCTCTTCTTGTAACACACCAGAGAATACACACGGGAGAGAAACCCTTCAAGTGCACTGTGTGTGGTAAGGCGTTTGCACAGTTATCTACTCTTATAACACATCAGAGAACACACACAGGAGAGAAACCCTTCAAGTGCAGTGTGTGTGGGAAGCCGTTTGCACGATCATCTGCTCTTAAAAAACACCAGAGAACACACAGGATAGAGAAACCCTTCAGGTGCACTCCGTGCGGGATGGCGTTTACACTTTCATCAAATCTTCATGTACACCAGATAACACACAAGCATGAGACGCTCCACAAGGAGTGGAGTCTGAAATCAGTTTATGAACGTCAAAGTGCCGCAATGAGCCCATCCCTCATGAAACAAGAACCGGAAGAAAATCCCAGCTTCGACACATTTACAGGTATCGAGGTGAAATATGAAGAGGTGAAGGTGAAATGTGAAGAAGTGATGGTGAAGAGCGAAGAAGTGAAGGTGAAATGTGAAGATGAAGATTCAACTCCAAAATCGGACCTTCACATCGATGGAGGCAACGTGAAGCAGGAGGAGAATTCTGACTGTGAGGCAGAGCGGGACAACTCCCAGCAGTTTGTGGAAGTGGAGGTGTGGGTGGACTTCCTCCAAGACAAAACCAAGTCAAATGGAGACCCGGTAGATGTGTAAGCTTGAGATGATGTCGCTCCAATAGATGCACCTTTGTCACAGGCCTTACCCTGCAACCTGCAGGGTAAGAGCGGCCAGTTTTTGTGGACCTGTGGGTTGCGTAGATCTCTAACCAGGAGCGAGAGCCAATACCCTCCCAAGCATTCACAAGGTTCTAATACGTAGAATGAGTATTCTCATTCTACGTGACTTTACCGAAAGAACCAAAGAAGATGAATCCTTGCAGTCACGAAAGCTTTAAATCGAAATTTAAGGTTCTAATAATTGCATTTATATGGTGCTTGCTTAATCGCCTCTGGCAATTCGGAGTTTTGTGTCGTATCTCGTCTCAAACACTCGAAGAGCATCCCCAAATAGCAGCTGCCCCTGTGTGGCACAAGGTGGTGGCCCTGCACCGGCCTGCATGTGGACAAGAGCCTGTCAGTAGGGGGTGATGGTTGATGCGGCATCTTGGTTGTGTAGTTTGTAGGTAATGTTTAGAATTTGATACATTTTGACCCAGACGCCAGCATGCAATGGCCAACTCGTTTTGAATGGCGCAATAGTATGTTGTACATACACTGTTAAGCAGACGGTGCATATTTTTTTTAAAATAGCTTCTTGTTAATGCGCTGTAACCTTACTCATTGGTTTTTTCGGTAAAGTCATGTATGTAGAAATACAATAAAATTATATTAAATACAAAATAATCACGACGTTTAGATCACAACACAAGCGATCTTCATCAGGTGTCAAGGACAAATCATGGCAAGAACAAATCATGGAGATAAATACAACAAAAAGATGAGAGACGAGAATTTAACAAACCTAAAAAATATGTGAAGCACAACCAGTCAGGCCAACAACACAGACACTTCCTGGCGGACCACGAATTTCAGGAGTGTTAAATTTCGTGTTCAACTTCTGGATTGCACAAACCAGCATAGACAGAGTGAAAATGAGGTACATGGTCAGTAGGAAAGACAGACAGAGAGGCAAGAAGAGAGAGAAGTGAACAGAAGCTTAAATAGGCAGCTCATCTTGCGGCAGCTCAAAACAGCACATCTTGCATATACACAGCAGGGGGGGCGGGGGGGTGGGAACAGGCTTGGGTGCACCTGTAATTCAATTTTGTTCATATTCCTGTCAATAATTTAGAATGAATACTTGTCTGATTGTGTACGTACATGTAGCATTTTGTGTATAAGGGTCAAACATTGAATAAGTGATGTTAAGACAAAGTGTGTGTTTTGGAAGTAACCTGTACAGATAACTCAGGTGAGACTCATTGTTCTTGTGATACAGGTCAAAGGGTATTTTATGTTTCAGGAAGCTTCTCCCTCTGGAGCAACTCATTGTCTTTGAAATAGGGAGCACACTCGGATCATTCATCAGTTACAAGGCATACCTCTCAAAAGTTACACGTAGAGGAGATACATTCTCTACAACACGAATTATAATTTTGTATTACATGTTGACGTATATTTTCTCGAATTAGGACAATAAATTGTCCTTGCTGATTAACGTCTGGATGTTCACAACCATGGCTTGAAGCAAGCCAGATCGCCTGCGGTGCCCCTCACAACCATTTACGACCTGGGGCCAGGAAAGTCACGAAAAAAATTGCACACGAACGATGCCTCCACGCAAGCTCCCGATGCTCCCTTTTGAAGTTTTAAAATGAAACAACTTTGAATTGTATTATTTTGAATTAGATAATTGTTTTTCTTCATTAAAAGCGTATTAATTGAAAACGATATTTCGTGTGAATTGTCTCGCGTCATTAAGTAGATGGCTTTGCCGGTGGTTTGGTTCGATGCGAACTTTCACCTGGTTGGGATCGCGGGATTCAGATGAGGCGACACAGAGCTGGCCGTGCGAGAAGACCGCCGTCCGCAAATTGATTCCAATGCGATCGAACGTCTGTCCCTGCGCCTCCATCGTTCATGCAGGGGACGCGTAGGTTTGCAGCGCCCCCTGCATGAATATGACGGAACGTGCAGCGTTAGTCACGAAGTTGTGCGTAAGCGCCACAACAAGGCGCTGTAAGCTGACCTGCCACCACGTTCACGGGTCAACAGGGGGCAGCCGAGAGAGAGAGTGAGGTGTGTACGGGTCGACCAAAGTAAACCCCCGCCCCCCCCCCCCGTGACCCGGGAATAACACCCTTGACCCCCCACACGTCTCTAAGGCCCCTTAAGATAAGACCTTCCAGAAGGTTCTGGGAGGGGGGGTTGGTGGTTCAGGAGGGGAGGGGTGACCCCGACCTGGGGTTAAAAGCCCGGCCCCCTGGACCGGCCGGGCAGTGTTCACCAACTCAAGCCTGAAGACATCCGAAGACCTGAAGACTGGACCAGCACCCAGGGACCCTCAACCGAGGCTCTTGTTAGAGCCGAGTTGTAGCGGACCAGAGGTGAGCTCCCGTACCCTGGCTGTGACGGGTCGTCCAGTCTTCCCTTAACGCCGGGCTAACGGACCTGTGGGTAGCAGAGCCCGGAGTGTGCAGGCTGCGATAGAAGGGAGGCTGTCACTCCTGGAGGCTATCGGGTGGAAGGGGCCGTACCCCTTCGTGTTACAGTAGTGTGTAGAGCCGAGTTCAAAAGAGTTGTAATAATAAACGCGTTGCCTCAACCAGACGTCTCCGTGTGGTTAGTTAAGGACACAACGCGTATATAAAAGAGAATAGCTAGTGGGTTATCAAAGTACCTTCGTTTTACAGAAATCAATTTCGCGTGAGCCCACCACATTAAAACAATGCTCAGCTGAGCGGGGCGAGCCACGGGGGGGGGGGGGGGGTCACCTTATCTTTGTCACGTGCCATAGCTCACGTGACTTCTGCCGCGACAATGTCTGGATGTTTTAGCCTGAGGACGACCGCTCGTGTTGCGATCGAAACGTCGTGATTTATTTTTTATTATTTAATTTTTTCGACCTACGTGACTTTACTGAAAGAACCAAAGACTATGAAAGACGTCTTGTCTGCTGATCTTGTTCATATCTGTGTACATCGATATCTTACATTGCTTACACGTACACACCACATGCAATGAAGTAAATAGAAACTAGAACGACTTACTTCCAGGGATGGGCAAAGATGGAGGAATCTCAATGGAGCGAGTTAAGTGTGTTCGATTCAACATCTCTCTATCCGTCTGTGTCTCTGTTCCCCTCTTTGTGTCTCTCTCGCTGACTGTGTCTCTGTCGTCTCTGTATCTTTCTGTCTTCCTCTTGTCTGTTTCTGTCCACCTCTCTATTGTCAGTCTCTCTGTGTGTCTCTATCAGCGTCTTTCCAACCGTATTCAACTACTGTCAGTAGCAACATAAGCCCATTCAACTTTCATGGCCCACGACTGCACGCGACTCAAACTTGCTCCGACTCTCTGTGTGTACGTTGAACTTGTTTCGCACCATACGTAGCCAACCATGCTATCTGTGGGTCTCTGTGAGTCTCTGTGTGTATCTGGAACTTCTTTTGCACCGTACATAGCCGAACCTGCACAGGAGGAGCGGCTGGTATCTGTGGAGCTGTGGGCTGGGTACATCTGTCAGCAGGAGCGAGAGACAATGAAGCTCCCAAGCATTCACTACGTTACCAACATCATATTTGCACTCATAAATCGCTTGCCTAATTGCCTCGGCAACTCGGTGTTTCGTATCGAATCTCATCTCAAACAATCGAAGGACCCCCCCCCCCCCAGTGGCAGCTGCCCCTGTGTGGCACAAGGTGGCCCTGCACCGGCCTGCACGTGGACATGAGTCTGTCGGTAGGGGGCGATCATTGAAGCGTCATCTCCGTTGTGTAGTTTCTGGATAATGTTTGGAATTACCCCAATTTTGACCGTGACACAAATATGCAATGACCTGCGCGTTGTGAATGACACAACGCTATGTTTTATAGCCGCCGTTAAGCAGACTGTGCATATTTTGGTGAATGTTACTGGGGTAGCCAGGTGTGTCTGTCGGTGTTGAACCTTGAATCTCTGCAATAAATAGAGAATGTGCTACTGTATTCAGTTTAACACGTAGGCTTTCGCGACCAATATTATTCATAATAAAGGTTCTTGGGTTAGATCGCGTTTATTTATAAATGTGTCGCAACCCTCCACCACCCGACACGGCCAATCAGCAAAAAGTGTCACGTTGACAAAGACAAATAATTCACTACTTCAGCCCACCGGTGTGTTGAAGAGCTAATCCACATTTACAGTTTGAGTACGACGTTTCGCTGGTAAATACTTCCAGCATCATCGGGCAATTCGCCAGAATGGTAAAGCCCTCGCTTGCTCCCGGTTTTATATAGGGCAGCAGGGTGACGTCATCACTTAACTCATCAGGTGCAGTGATTAGAGGCGGAGGGGGGGGGTGTAATGTAATTATATAATCGATTAGTAATCAGTCATTGGTTATGATTAGTAATGAGTTGTAGATTAGTAATTCTTTAAATCAAAATGTAATGTGTATTATTTAATAATACGCTTCCAGGCCGCACTAAGCCGGTAGCTGTCAGAGC